ATCAGCACTGAGGTACGAGTGAGGACATGTGTGGACAGGAGCAGAGGTCTGAGGAGATGCAGGTTTTATTTTCATTTTTGATTGAGAAAACATATTTGGATCTTTGATTTAACAGCATCTGTTTCTCCTTTTTGTTAACCTTTTTTATTATTATTGATTAGATTTGTTCGTCAAACACCAGCATCATTTTTTAAAGAATCATCTGGAGTAAAGAGAGAATAAAGGAGAACATGCGGAACAACCTTCAGCTCAAGCGACAAACAGTTTGTCGCCTGTTTCACTGTTGATTCACATAAAGCTGCTGCTCACTGACTCGGACTGAAGAGCTCAGACCTGACGCCAACAGACCGACAGAGGCGTCAAAATCACACGCAGCATGGACAAAAACCAGAAGGCGTCACGTCTTGTTTTTGTGTTGCATTTTTGTTGTTGTCTCTCTGACTGGACTGAGGCGATCCGCAGCGTCTGTCCTGCTGTCGTTACGTCTCATCGTCCTCTTTGTCTGTGGACGGAGCTCTGACAAGCCGCCCAATCGCAACAGATGAAGCGCAGAAGATTCGATTATTGTCACGACAACACTGACAAAGACTGGGGCGAGGGAAGAAGCTTCATGTCACTCGAACGTCTCCGGCTCCAGATGTGACTTCACACAGCTCATACTGACAAACTCATGAAGCTGCAGGATGAATTCAGAGGGAAGTGAGAATATGGATCTTTATAGTTTATTCTAAATATAAAAAAACACAAAAAACTTGGTGAAAACTGGTTTATAAAGATTCTATTTGCAGCTTTAACAAAAATAATTTCTCTATTTGTTTCTTGTTTGACCTTCCTCTATATTTTCTTTCACGTTCTAGAAGTTAGAGAATATCCTGAGGCGCTGCCGCCACCAGGGGGCGCAACCAGGTGATCCACTGCTCACAGGGTGACTGGACACCTCCAGCTGTTGTTGTAAATCCTCACCTTGCTGCAGTGGTGTACAGGTGTTGTCCAAGAATGCAGCAAAACACAGCCTCGTTACAGAAGACACACACACACACACACACACACACACACACACACAGAGTCAGAATGACATCAGTCACACACACCACAAAGCTGTAGTTGTAACTCTCTCTCACACATACACACACAGTCCTCACTGTCACTTCCCATGACTACACGCACGCACGCACGCATGCACACACGCACACACACACACTATAGAGGCCTCAAAGTTATGTAATCTGAAAACAAACAGATACTTTGTGTGTGTGTGTCTGTGTGTGTCTGTGTGTGTCTGTGTGTGTGTCTGTGTGTGTGTGTGTGTGTGTCTCTGTGTGTGTGTGTCTGTGTCTGTGTGTGTGTGTGTGTGTGTGTGTGTCTGTGTGTGTGTGTGTGTGTGTGTGTGTGTGTGTGTGTGTCTCTGTGTGTGTCTGTGTCTGTGTGTGTGTGTGTGTGTGTGTGTGTGTCTGTGTGTGTGTGTGTGTGTGTGTGTGTGTGTGTTCCTTAACATCTGTCTTTGTGAGGACCAAAGATTGAAGTTGAACAGGTAGAAATAAAAGAAGAGGGATGTAACAGGAAGGTGCTGTTCTGACGGGAAAATAAAGAGCTGAAAATATTCTACACGAAGCTTCACTCAAACAGATGTTTTTAAAAGTGTCTAAAACAGCTGTTTGTAGACACGTAGACACAGATTCCTCCCGACGACACAGAGACGGATCATTTCCTCACAACTGCTCCGGTTTCCCCGAAAAACTTTGTGCAGGAAAAGAGAGAAACGAGATGATGACGCATGTATGAAACTCAGCGTGAGAGTGACTCAGCTACACACAGTCTCTCTCCTCTCTCTCCCTCCACTGTGGTGAGCATCACAGTCTGGAGCTGTTACTGCTGCTGCCGCCATGTTTTATTCAGAGAGGAGAGGAGAGGAGAGGAGAGGAGACAAGGAGGAGGAGGAGGAGGAGGAGGAGGAGGAGAGGAGAGGAGACAAGAGGAGAGGAGGGGAGAGGAGGGGAGGAGGAGGAGAGGAGAGGAGAGGAGAGGAGACAAGGAGAGGAGGAGGAGGCGAGGAGAGGAGAGGAGAGGAGAGGAGAGGAGACAAGGAGAGGAGGAGGAGGAGGAGGAACCCTTGAGCAGCAGCAGCCTGATGAAGAAGAAACATCTGAGTCACTGTAGTTAAAAATACACTCATCAATAAAAGATGTCGCCTGAATCTGAACAGAATAAAACAGCTTATCAGTGAATAAGTGAAACTAGAGCCTCTGTAATGTTTCATGTTTGAAACATTGAACACTGCTCAGGTGTGGAAGTCCTGCATGTCAGATTTTTCCACCTGCACTTGAACGCAGCGTCAGTTACTGCTACTGACTCGTCAGTGAGGAGGAGAGAGGAGTGAACGAATGAGTGAATAATGAAATACAGAAGCTGCAGCTAATGATTATTTTCATTATCAATGAATCAGTGGATTAGTTTCATGATTAATTGATTCGTGGTTTGTTTATATAAAGGAGAACTAGAAAATACACATTTAAGAAGCTGGAGCTAAAGTGTTTAAGGCTCAGCAAGACACTTCATTTTCTGTTGACGGACTTACTGACTCATTGTTTCAGCTCGATGTGACACCAACATGTGTCAACATGTGAATTATAGTGGAGATCCCAACGTTTCTGAAGATGTTTAGATTTAGTTTTAAAACTCTTTCTCTTTAACTCTTTATGTTTACTCCTGTTGTCCACACGAGTCTAAAACGTCTAAAACAGATTTTCAGAAACTCTGCTGGACTTGTTTTATTTTCTATTTTCTAGGGTTGTGTTTATTCTGAAAACTCTGAGGTTGTGTTTTATTTTGAAAACTCTGGGATTGTGTTTTATTTTGACAACTCTGCGGTTGTGTTTTATTTTGAAAACTATGGGGTTGTGCTTTATTTTGAAAACTCTGGGGTTGTGTTGTAGTGTGGACGGACAGAAACTCTACCAGCGGTGTAACATGAGTTAAAAGCAACAACAATAAACAGTGTTGTTGTATTTCAGGCGAGTTTCTCAGAGTCTTCACAGAGGGAATGAATTAAACATGAGGAGGATTGGAGGACTGGGGGACAGGAGGATTGGAGGACTGGGGGACAGGAGGACTGGAGGACAGGAGGACAGGAGGACTGGAGGACTGGAGGACTGGGGGACTGGAGGACTGGAGGACTGGGGGACTGGAGGACAGGAGGACAGGAGGACTGGAGGACTGGAGGACTGGGGGACTGGAGGACTGGAGGACTGGGGGACTGGAGGACAGGAGGACAGGAGGACTGGAGGACTGGAGGACTGGAGGACTGGAGGACAGGAGGACAGGAGGACTGGAGGACTGGGGGACTGGAGGACTGGAGGACTGGAGGACTGGGGGACTGGAGGACTGGGGGACTGGAGGATTGGAGGACTGGAGGACAGGAGGACTGGAGGACTGGGGGACTGGAGGACTGGGGGACTGGGGGACTGGGGGACTGGGGGACTGGAGGACAGGAGGACAGGAGGACAGGAGGACTGGAGGACAGGAGGATTGGAGGACAGGGGGACTGGAGGACTGGAGGACAGGAGGACTGGAGGATTGGAGGACAGGGGGACAGGTCTCTGTCCATGGACCAAACAGAATCAGAGCTTTCTTCTTCTCTTACATAAATCCTGTAGCGATGAAGAGGAGGAGCTCAGTCTGACGATGAAGATGAGTGCTCAGGGTCTGGGAGGCTGCACACTCACTGCAGTTACATAAACACTAAACGGTCAACAGCGTGACTCGTGGAAGCCAGTCGTTACATAACACTGAGGCCGTGGAGAGAAGAAGCATGGCATTATGGGAAATTCAGTGGCTGAGGTTGAATCGACTGATGAGCTACTGTTTTCGTTAATTCAACACGAGGCAGATAAAACGCATCACGTCATGTTTGCATGTGTGTTAGCAGCTGTTCTCCTGGTCACACAGAGGTCACACAGAGGTCACACAGAGGTCACACAGAGGTCACATGGGGAGGCTGCTGGGACAAACAGTCGACCCGCCGGCTCTGGTTCAGTCCATATTCCGACCTTTTTAACTGTGTGGAGATTTATAAAGATCTAAATTTAAATAATCACATTTCAAACGAGCAGTTTTTTTTGTTTTATTTGACTTCCTGTTTGTCCACCTGAGCGTGGTTTTACTGCACCTGCATCACAGACGCTGCGTTCGTCAGATATCGGAGCTGTCGTCACATGTGAGTTGATTCGGTTCCAGAACAAGTCAGACGGTCGTTACTGTTGTCGTTGTTATTGTTAGCAATATTAGTTGATATCATAATTTTGCATTAAGCAGTATTTTGTGCACAAACACTGTAGCAACAGCAATTTATACACAAATAAGACAGACGTGCTAATAAACAGTATATCACTACAGCTTTCACTTCTGTTGACGTGCAGAGCGGCCATCTTGGATTTTGAGGTCGGGGTTGGTGCGGTTCTTGTGACTTTAGAAATCCGGCTTCGTGATTGTGTCTCAGTGAAAGAGTCTGAGAGCCGAGATGTTCTGTTTCCATTTGTTCTTGTTTTTGTTTGGTTTTTAGTTTGTTTCTTTTTCTTTGTTTCTTTTTTCTTTGTTTCTTTTTGTTTGTTTGTTTTTAGTTTGTTTTTGTTTTTGTTTGTTTTTTGTTCTGCTTCAATACAAACACAATGTTTTTTGAAAAATCTATAAACATATTTATAAAAAATAGAAATCTGTTCCAGTTGGAAACTTCAGCTTCTTGGTTGAAACGCGCTCCGTCAGCCTGTGGCCTTTTATCGGCTGGAGGATTTACAACAAGCAGGGACAAGTTCAGTACGAGGACACACCCAACTATGGAGGCAGCAGGGAGAAGAGACGAGAGCGGACCGTGATGTGTCTGCGCACTGCATTGTGGGACGGCTGTGGGTATGCTGAATTAACCAAGATGATGTCACACGCCTTGTTATTTGAAACCAAAGTGACCAGAGCGGTCAGAGAGACACACACCGAGTGTCCACCCTTACCTTGAGCTGCACCAGGTGGACATCCACGTGTCTGTTGTCGCTGTCTTGTCCCACCGAGTGTGTGAGCTGTGTGACTCTGTCGCTGGTCGCTCTCAGCCACGTCTCTATCTCCGGCAGGTGGAGGACGACCTTCCAGTCGGCGCCGGTGTGGAGGGGCGGGGGTTTCTTAGACCTGCAACAACACGTGCTGTGTGTTAGACCAGTGGTCCCTGATCGTTCTGACTTGAGAACCTCTGAAGTGAAGAAGCTGAAAGTATCCAGCGTTTCAGAGGATAAAAGTTCAGGAAAAGACAAATATAATTTGAGAAGCAGAAATAAATACAAAGAGAAAAACATCTGTAAATCATGAATTATCCTCATCATCATGTCTGATTTGTTACCTCCTGGAGGGGTCTTGGCCCAGGTGGCTGGGGCCGGGGCCCAGTGAGGAGGCCTCATCCTGGGACTGATGGTCCAGATCCAGGTTAAGAGGGGCGGCAAGGGAAGTGGAGCTGTCGGGGTCCACGGTTGGGGTGACGGGTGTGATGGAGGTGACCATGGGGGACGGTGGCTCAGGGGCCATGGGCGAGAGAGCTACGATGCTCATGGTGTAAGAGAGGGAGAGACAGGTGCAGGATTCCTAATGTGGGTGGACGAGCTTCATTGGAGTGAACTGGAGAGAGAGAGAGAGAGAGAGAGAGAGACGAAGGAAGAGACGAGAGACAAAGAGAGAGAGAGAGAGAGAGAGAGACAGAGAGAGAGAGACAGGTGAGTTAAAATACAAAAATAAGGACAGAAGCAACAGAGGAAAGAAGGAACAAAGAGGGAAGGAAGGCAGGAAGGAAAGAGGGAGGCGCAAATTAATAATAGAGGGAATAATAAATGGGTGGAATGAGAAAAGAAAAGCAAAAAAAACAAAATAAGGAAGCAAGGAAGGAAGGACAAATGAAAGGAAAGAACAAACGAACAAACAAAAGATTGAAAAATTACTGGGAATGAAAAAAGCAATGAAAGAACAAAGGAGCAAATAATTAACAATAATAATAACAACTAACGATAGTCAAAGAAAGTCACACTGAAGGGAACACGAACAAATCTTATTGGCTGTTAAAGGTCAATACAAGTGAACCTGTTTCAGTACAACGTTTTACTGCTGTCTCTGTGTTCGTGGTGCGTTCAAGTGTCTATATTCTCTATATCTACAAGGACAACCTGATGAAACTGATGAAGATGGATGCATTTTTATATTTCACACTTTAAATCAAAGCACTTCACAATTTTGTCTTTCACCCATTCACACTCACACATGATGGCTGCAGAGCTCTCATGCATCAGGATAAAGTTGGGATTCGATGTCTTGCTCAAGGGCACGTTGCTGTGCAGACAGGAGGAGCCGGGGATCGAACCGCCAACTGTGCAGTTAATAGTTTTAGGCTCAAAGTCTGAATGAGGTTTAGTTCAGGTAAATATTTGGGGCTGGGGAGAGAGAGGGACATTACCCAGGTACCTTGAAATGACTTGACCTCAATCAGAAGGTGTACGTATGTACACACACACACACACACACACACACACACACACACACACACACACACACACAGAACTACCAATGTGTGTGTGCTGTAACAGTCAATTATCTGCACTGGAGGAAAGACAAGCTGGAAATCAATGTGCTGGAGGAGACAGTACTGCTGCTGCTCTCATAGGATGATACACTGTTCTTCAGGCTCTAGACACACACACACACACACACACACACACACACACACACACACACACACACACACACACACACACACACACACACACACACACACACACACACACACAGAACTACCAATGTGTGTGTGCTGTAACAGTCAATTATCTGCACTGGAGGAAAGACAAGCTGGAAATCAATGTGCTGGAGGAGACAGTACTGCTGCTGCTCTCATAGGATGATACACTGTTCTTCAGGCTCTAGACACACACACACACACACACACACACACACACACACACACACACAGAAGCTGTCCTACATCCAAGAACAAAAGCTCACACAGACACAATCCCACATGCAAACGAACAGACACAGCAGAGTCCAGATTAGAGGCAAACTTGAGAAGGAAGTCACTCGGAGAACTTTAAATCTCTGGAGAACAGACAGTGAACAGAGCTGCAGCGACACCAACGTCAGAGTTTACATCACACACTTACACTGATATCTTTCCAAGGCCGACTGACTAAAACATGACGAGTTGGACCATCCCGTGTGGAGATATAATGTGATTTACAGAAACCATGAACTGCATAATTCAGGTCGTGGTTCACTGGAGCCTCATTTCATGTGAATGCAGCATCAAATCTCTTATTAAATCCATATGAAACAACAGGTGTAGTACACTGACTGAGCAGTTCCTTATGATCTGAACCAGATCCAAAACAGAAACCTACTCCAGCATTAATGTTTAAACGCGTGTTTTCCCTCCATCTGAACATCAATCAGGTTTTTAACAGATAAAAACTAGAATTAACTCCTCGTGGTCGTCTGCCTCCTCCACTCAAACTAGTTCCAGGTAACATCCCTGTTTATCCACACTAAAGAGCCTTTTCTGAGGTCACTGTGACCTGTGACCTTTGACCTTTGGCCACCAAATTCTAATCGTTTCACCCTTGAGTCCATGTGAATGTTTGTGCCAAGTTTCCTCAAGGAGTGACTGAGATATTGACGAATGCCCCGGCTGCTGCCGGTGCGGAGGCATGAAGACGCTGTAAATACCAGATTCAGGAGTTCATATATGAATAATCCAGTGAACACACACACTTCTGACTCAGTGTCAGGTTAAATCTCCCCATCAGGATTCAGTCTGTTGCAGTATTTCCACTTCACAAAGCCTCCTGGCCAATAAGAGGTCAGTGAGGAGTGAATGATGAGTCAATCAGACAGCTACAGTTCATCACTGCCCGACCTTTCAGTCTGAGATCTGGAGTCCAACTGACAAAACACACAAACACAGATATAACTTCCACTCCGACCTTCAGGCAGCAGATGAAGTGGTGAACACGTCTGTCCAGTATCACACAGACATGGAGAGTATGAGTCGATCAGGAGTAAATACCTCCTCTCTCCTCCTCAGCAGCTTAATCTCATTACTCCTTCTCTGTAGTTTCCTTCCTCTCAGCTGCTTTTCCTCTTCTTGTCTTCCTGTCTTAAGGAATCAATCAAGACTAAGATAATATCGGACCAATACACCAAACTAAAATATGTGATATAAAATTTCATCATTTAAATTTCATTTCATTTTATCCTATTAGACATTTGTGTTCAATGTCGTCATAATTAGTTATGGAGTTATGGTCAAAAACATGTTTTGCAATGTGACAGTGACCTTGAACTTTGACCTATGACCAACAAATTCTAATCAGTTCATCTTTGAGTCCAAGTGATCGTTTGTGCCGGATGTGAAGAGGTACAGTTAAATATCATATTCAAGAGGTCAATAACTGAACCACTAACATCCAGTCAGCTCATCCTCGAATCCAAGGATGAGCCAAACTTAAAGAAACTCCCTCGAGGCGTTACTGAGGTATCACGCTCATGAGAAAGGGAGGGACTTATAGAACTGTGGAGGTAGTAATGTGGCGAGCTGCTTGAACAGGAACCTCTTTGGAAACCATTTAAGAGATAAAGCTGGTGTTGTTCTATATCAGATTATAAAAGGTGGATATTTGAGGCAGCAGGACGGCATGAAGGGACAACTGTCGCTCACTGATGTGTTTTTAATAGTTTTTGTAATTGATTGTTGATGGAGTTTTTAGAGTGTGAATGGTTTTCATCATGGTTCAGTGTGAAACTTTAATGTCTGTTGATTGAACCCTTCTGGATGACTGAGAATCATGAGGCAGTAAGACTGAGTGAAAACAGTTCAGATCTAGATCTTAGAAACGATGCTGAGCATCAACATTTCATGCATAGCTCAGGTGGAAGCCGAACCAAACATTCAGGACAGATCATTCAGCAGCTTCACAGTGTTCAGGTAGGACATGCAGTGCGTTCAAAAAGTGTTCAGACCCCTTCACTTTTGTCAAATCTCATCATGTTGCCTCATCCTAAAATTAAAAAATTATTTTTTAATTTTTTTCCCCTCATCAATCTCCACTCAACAACCCAGAATGACAAAGTGAAAACAACTTAAGGGGAAAGCAACCCTCTATTTCTAGCTTTTCTTCTGCTGAAGTTAACACAACACTTTCCAATACCGAGTCACTGTAGCATCCAGGCTACCCTAAAGAAGCAGCGCTGCTCAGAGACTGTGTTATAACCTCTTGTATCGTAAACGCAACGAAGTGGTAAGTCAACAAATGTCAATGCTAATGCTGGTGATGTTGCAATAGTCATTCGATTGTTACTTATTCCAAAGAAGTTTGGACTCTTCCGAGAAGTGGCCACCCGACCTAACTGATCAATCAGGGATAAAGGGCCGTGGTAAGAGACATGACCAAGAAACCGGATGTATTGTATGAGGAAGTTGTTTACTGGTATAGTGGTTGATTATCTAAGTAAATCTCCATGTGCGTAATGAGAGAGAAATGCTTGGAATGAAGTCCAACCCTTACCTTCGAATCACCTGAGACAAAACAGGAAACTAACCTAATATATTGTGCAGAGATTAACTTCAGCCAAAACTGAAAACGTCTGATCACAGAGAGGACTAACCAGAGAGGACTAAACAGAGAGGACTAACCAGAGAGGACTAACCAGAGGGATGCTGTACCTGAGAGTGAGCTGTACACAACGAGACTGACTGGTTCGAACTGTTTCAGCCGCCTGCTGTGTCGCCGTCTAATAAACCTTTAAGGAAATGGCCTCTAGACCAGAGGAGGATCTACACTGTCCTGTCTGCCATGAAATCTTCCAAGAGCCTGTCCTCCTGTCATGCAGCCACAGTCTCTGTAGAGCCTGTCTTTGGACATGGTGGACGCAGAAATATCTTTTGTGCCCAGTTTGTAAGACGAGATCTTTACAAAGTGATCCGCCCCGAAACCTGGCACTAAGGAACCTCTGTGAACATTTTTTAAGGGAGAAAACTGAGAGACCTTCAGCGGGCTCTGCAAGTGTCTGCAGTCTGCACTCTGAGGAACTCAGGCTCTTCTGTCTGGATCATCTGCAGCTGGTGTGTGTCGTCTGTCTGCATTCAGAAACACACAAAAACCATAGCTTCAGTCCCATCAATGAAGCTGCGCGGGACTACAAGGGGATACTTAGGGAACTTCTGAAACCCCTACAGGAGAAAATGGAGCTCTTCACTGACATTAAAGGAAACTTTGATCAAACAGCAAAAGACGTTGAAGTTCAGGCACAAGACACAGAGAGGCAGATTAAGGACGCCATCTCGATGCTTCAGACGTTTCTCAAAAAGGAAGAGCAGGAAAGGATGGAGGCGCTGAGCAAGGAAAAGCTGCAGAAGACTAAGATGTTGAAGAGGGAGAGCGAGACTCTAAGCAAAGACACAGCAGCTCTTTCAGACACAATCAGAGCCACAGAGGAGGCGCTGAGAGCTGAAGATATCTCGTTCCTGCAGAGGTACAAGACTGCAGCTCAAACTGTCCAATCTTTCCCACTGAATGATCCACAGCCGATGTCAGAGGCTCTGATAGACGTGGACAAACACCTGAACAACCTGCCCTTCAACATCTTGGACAGTATGAAGAAGGAGGTAACCAACACTATGGACGCCAAAATGTTGCTCCAGGACCCACTGTTGTCTCTGGGGGCCAGTGTATCCAGGCTGAGAGCCAGAGACAGACGGTCCTACTGTGGTACCGAATTCAACAGTACATCCCAGAGTAGAGAGCTGTCCCTGGCTATCAAAGAATCTTGTGCCACAACAGCAAAGAGGAATTCACTGGCACTGAACTATGAGCCAAGATATCAACAATACAGAGATCTGTCAACTGAAAGATCAAAGCCGCCGCCGCTGTCGCCACCGCTGCTGCCGCCCCACATACCTGAAAGAAGACAGCCCCGCCCCCCCCCTCACACCCAGCACCCCGAGGACAGACTACAGCCGACAAGCACCCGACCTACACCCGCTTCAACAGGCGTTAAGAGGAACCCCTTCGTACTCAGTTCCTTCCGCAACAACAGGTGAAATTATCGGTTTGAGGCTCCACAGCTGAAAAAACTCGCAGGTCTGATCTCAACTTACAAAGCACTTTAGAAACTCACCAACACAGAATCAGATCAAAGTGAAACTAGCATTTACATTCTGTTCAAATGAATTTCATGAATGTGTTTTTGCAGTTAGCTTTAGCTTTAGCAGCTAAAGAGCTAAACTGTGGTTCTGTCCAAAGCACTACTCCATTCATTCTGCTCTGTCGGTTATTTCTTAATCAAATGTCACTTTATCTAAAATAGTCTTTAGATTCAGATTTCAAATATTTTTGGTGACAAGGGACCTAAGACCTAAGTCTTTTATTATTATTATTATCATTATTATTACTATGATTATTATTCTTTCTGTGGTTTCATATGAACAAATTAAACACCTGATGACACAACACCAACATCGTTAAAGAATAAAGTGAATAAATTTAAGAATAAATTTACTGAATGTGGTTTAATTACCATCATCATTATCATCATCATGGGGCAAAGTGTTGAGTGTACGGTACTGAGCTGATATATGTAAAGACCGGTTTAACATGTAGAGTTTAGACTAGAACCTGGAAACAAACCACTTATCCAACTACATTGATTCTGCAAATACTTAATCCAAACTAATCTAAATAAGAACGGTTACAAACCATGTTTCTATGAGCTTTAATTCACGATTTTACACAAGATTCTGCTTTTGGCACCAAGAGAATAATTAAAAAACCTGCCAGGAATAATGAAATAACACGTGAAATCAGACCAAGAAGCTAAAACTCAAACTGGTTTTCACAAAATACAGAAGAAAAGAAACAGCGCACACATCCACACTGTACCTCTCCATCTGGCTGCATCTAAAGAATAATCCACAGATGGAGTAATCCAGACGGTTCCATATGTGGGGGCAGATCAGACATGTGTTCAGATGACAACAAACTCTCTTCCTGTTTCTCCTCCGTCACTGTTTATCCTCCACTCCACTCTTCCCTCCGTCTGCATGAAGGAGACAAAACCTCTCCCTCCTTTTCTTTTTCGTCCACTCACCAGTTTGTTTTCTCACTTTCCCTCCACCGTCTCTCTCTCTCTCTCTCAGACATTCAGGCTGTCACAGCATGGCACCACACACACACACACACACACACACACACACACACACACACACACACACACACACACACAGCCCATGCGTGTCCTCCCCTTCATCTCAGCTGTGGTTTTAAATCCTTTTAAGAACGAGCAGACGCAGCGAACAGACAAATAAAATGTTTTATTCATATTCTCTTTTCTCTGCATAAAATATGCATCCAGCTCTCGTTCAGCCGCTCTGCAGGTTTCAGCCTGATGTGTAAAAACATCACACACACGGGGAAATGTCTCGTGTTCATTTCCTGAATTAAAAAGTTATGATAAAATAATTTGTGAATAAATATATATTTGGCACATTGATCTTGAAGTCTGATATGAATGATGAAATAAACTAATGAAAAACATCAGAGTAAACAGAAGAATAAGTACTTATTAATGCCTATGATAAATGAACTACAATAGTTTCTTTACTTTTAATGAAATAAAAACTTCATAAATTAATGAATCAGTAGTTTACAGCTTTTTAATTATCATATTAAAAGTTGAAGATGTTCACTAGTGTCTAAATAAAAGATCAGGTATAAAACCATGACACCAGAATATAAATCAAATAATCGTCAGTATGTGTTTGGTGTTTTGTGATCTGCAGAGAAACACAAAGATTAAAGATTCACAAAAAACAAAGTGAAATAATAAAGTTTAAGTGTGAACTGATGAATGTTTCTCCTCCTCTGATTTACTGTGAAGTTCAATGACAAAAAAAAAAGAAAAGACAAATTATGAACATGGCAAAGGAAATGAACACACACACACACACACACACACACACACACACACACACACACACACACACACACACACACACACACACACACTGAGTGGCCTGCTGACCAGCAGCAGCAGTCAGAGCGATGCAGTGCGGGGGTGACTCAGGCTCTGCATTGATCAGCATTATCAGCAGTGAGGCAGAGAAATTATGTCAGTGGAGCAGCAGAAGGAAAACCGTTGGGTGATGGAGTCAGTCTGCCTGACGGGATCAGTGGCGGTCACACGGTTCAGTCCAGGTGAACGGAGGACAGGCGTCAGCGCGAAGGCTCTGACCGTGTCTTCACAGGTTTGTCTGAGAGAAGCGCGAACAACGACGACGGTCGAGGACGAGATCTGAGGTTTCACTCCGACTACAACAACAAGTTGTGTTACAGAAAGAACGTTCTACCTTTGACCTCTGAGTACAGACCATGTTATTGTGTCATTCAGATAATCAACATTAATTAGTGACCCGCTGTCAACATGAGGAGCTGCTACCTGAATGTTTAGTACATTCATATTTGCTACTGTAATATTTCTATATTTTATGTATATATTTATCTTTATAATCTACTTCATGTTCTCTGTTCTCTATCCTCCTGGGGATCAATAAGTATCCTGGTTCTGATTCTAATGATAAAGAGAGTCAGAGTCGCAGTGTTGAAAATCTGTGTAGTCTACAACCCGAACATCAATTCTGTCACCGGTGCACACGGATGATTTTTCACATTTGAAACAGAGATGCTCATAAAGGAGAAGAGCGCTGCAACAAAAGAAAGCACCAGCATTTGATCAGCTTCCTTTTAGCCGATACCGATCCATTAAAAATCCTGATACTGGCTCTCAGGACCAGTCTGCCACATCTCTACTCGTGAGCGGAACTTTGACTTTTAAATTAAAGTCCAAAACCACTCGAGCTGACTCGTCCAGTTTTCCCGGAGCTCCAGCGAGACTCCCCTGCCGTTTAGACACCATCATTAATGTTCATAAGCTCTGGGCGGAGCTGCTCACTGACATTCAGTGTGGGCAAACCGCTCACGCTCATGACATCATCAAGATCCATGAAAAACAGCAGCAGCAGACAACACAGCCATTCACTCAGACACTCACAAAACTTAGAGAAGCTCAATAAAACATCCAGTTTTACGGATTTTAAAGGTTAATCTAGAGACGAGCAACACACCTTAGTTCAGACTATAAATCCTGGCGTCTGTGGCGTTTGTGTTTTATAAAAATAACCACAAAATAAACCTGTGAAAAATAAGATCTGTGAATTTTTCATATAATTAATAAGTAAATAATAAGTTTTTATATTTGTCTTAAGAATCAGATTATTTAGAGAAACTTACTAAGTGCCAAAAGATGCTAATTTAGTTTTGAACACACAAGATAAAGAAATATCTCCACACTTTAATCAACCTTTAAATGTGACTAGTTTACTCAGTTTACAAATTTATTTAAGGGTCTTTATGAACAGATGATTGGTTATATAATGAAACAGTCTGTCATAAAGTATTTAATAAATGTTTATATGCTGCTAAACCGGGGGACTTAAGTAACTGATGTTAATTATTAATTAAATAATTAATAATTTATTCGTTTACCAACTGTCCTTTAAAACCTTCTGTCCCTCCTCTCATCATACTTCCTGTGTGCGAGGTGTGTCAAGATGAGGTCAGTGGGCAGGAATAGATGTGACATCATCAGCATCACCATACATGACCTCATCAGCCACATTACCCCAGAGAGGGAGGAGGAGGACGGAGGAGGGGGGGGGGGGCAGAGCAGGGAAGTGGAGGGAAAAGAGGGAGAGGAGCTGAGACGAGGAGGCTGTGACGCTGATGATCGTCATGGTAACTGAGAAATGTTATGATGATCACACGACTCAGACCGAAAGACCCATTACGTTTTCTGTGACCTTTGACCTCTGTGACTCACCTGCCGATGATGCTCCACCTCATTCCTGCCCTTTACTGTAAATCATAACTCATTTACCTTCGACCTCTGTTAACCTCTGCTTCTGCTTCTTTTATTTTAAGATGATAATTCCATTATCCACATTTTTAATATATAAATATAAAATATATATATTTTAAATGCTGGGACAGTCTTGTTTATAGTTACATATCTCTCCCTTTGTAGGAAGTCTTTGACCAGGACACTGTATTAAAGCTTAATGGGCGGGGTAATGGTTGGTATGATTGACAGGTGGCTCAGCCACTCCTCTTTTCTAAACTCTGTGTTTTCCTGTAACTGACCAGGAACAAAGACGGAAGTCTCTCTGTTTCTTTTTCATTTAAAATCTATGAATGTTTTTCTTCCCTGGTGTTTTTTTTCTACTTTTTTCATACCGTCATAAACCAACATTGAGCTTGAGCTCGAACCCCCCCCCCGCGAGTTAATGACTTCGTTAGTAAATAGGTCATTTTCCTGCAGAGATGCCAAGAGGGACACAGGCTGGACACGTGAGTGCATCATCACACATGCATACACACATACTGTATATACAGTGTATATACACCACCAACACAGTACATTTAAATTGTATAATAATGTATAATACTTTCTTCCAATGAAATCTGCTCAGAAATCTACAACAGAATAAAAAACTGAACTTCAGCTTTATCCCAAAAAAAAAGCAAAGCTGGAAAAAGCTCATCTGACTGGGTCTGACATCAGACTCGTGGTCATGTGATGAACTGGCAGTTACAGTCAGATGTAAATAAATACATATCATCAATATAATTCGTGTGTCTGCACAATAATAAATCTAGATGGAACGTTTTCACTGAGCTGATGCTTCTGGATTAAAGAGACTAAACAAAGTGAAAATAAATCAACCCCATCAGTTTGTTTATTTTGTCTGGTCCCGACTGAAACTGACAAGTTTCCTCGCTCCTGATTCACATCCACATTTTTATTCTTCCGTGACGGCGACAGTCAGAGAAGCCATTTTGTTTTCAGATTATCCATCCATACGCTCGTACGTCTCATTCTCATGGACACGATGTCCGAGTCAAGGATGAACTGGTTAGATTATAGTGGTCAAAGGTTAAAGGTCAAGGTTGCTGTGACCTCTCAAAACACTTTTTAGCCATTACTCAAGACTTCACAGCAATTATGAGAAAATTTCACAGCAATGGTTCATATTCTCTCTGACTGGATAAACAGGAATGTAACCTGGAACTAGTCTGAGTGGCGGAGGGATACGACCACGAGGAGGTGACTCTAGTTTCATTTTATTTAGGCCAAGCTTTAAATATTAAATATGTCTTCAGTGCTCGGACAAATTTGAGAACTTTGGCTTCATTTGTTAAATGAGAAAAAGGCTTTTGAAGGGAAACGTGTTTACATTTCTCCCTGCGAGGTAACGGAAAGCTAATTGTTTTGGTGTGACATTGAACTATAGTTAACAGTATCCAGCCTCAGTCTATGATGAACGCTCCATCCTTTAATCTGTGAGCTCAGCTGA